TTTGCTTATAACAACAGCTTCCACACCAGCATCGGTATGGCACCATATGAGGCTTTGTATGGTAGGAGGTGTAGATCACCTATTTGTTGGACAGAGGTCGGGGATAGAGCTTTGCTTCGGCCTGAAATTGTGCAAGACACTTTTGAGAAAATCAAGGTTATTCGACAAAGGCTCAAAACAGCTCAGGACCGACAGAAGAATTATGTAGATGTTCGAAGAAGACCTCTTGAGTATGAGGTCGGTGACCATGTGTTTATTCGTGTGTCCCCAATGAAAGGCCAAGTCAGGTTTGGGAAAAAGGGCAAGTTGTCGCCCCGTTACATTGGACCGTTTCAGATTCTGGAAAGGCTTGGTCCAATTGCTTATAGAGTTGCTTTGCCACCGGGATTTGAGCAAATCCATAATGTGTTTCACGTGTCGATGTTGAGGGGTTACCTCCGAGACCCGTTTCATGTGATTGACTATCACCAGGTAGCTTTGGATGAGAATATGGAATATGCTGAATGGCCGGAACGAATTATTGATCGGCAAGTGAAACAATTGAGAAGCGAGTCCATCCCAATGGTAAAAGTGGAATGGAAAGAATACTATGGGACGGATGCTACGTGGGAAAAAGAGGAGGAAATGCAACTACGCTATCCACATTTGTTTCCCGACGAAGGTAAATTTAGTTTGGAGGACCAAACTTCCTAAAGGGAGGAAGACTGTGATACCCCTGTTCCGTAATATGCTAATCGATCCTTAATTTAAACATGATTATGTGCTTGACATGATTTTGTGTGTCAATTATGCGAATTTATGTGATTTTGAATTTCTATCTGTTCACCGTAGGAATATCTGTTTGACTATCTGCTTTGGAAATTAAATTGGAGGCCTCATCGGCCACAGAACCCGAAATTGATTGCGCCATTGTGATTGGCATAACTTTTAGAGCCTGCGGTGAAATTTAATTGAAAATTTATTCGGGTCAGATTAAATCGCTTAAATTGATGAATTAGTGCCCAATTTGTCATTAATATTATAATGGACTTAGTGGAAGTTGTTGTAAAGAGGCACTACACTTCAATTCTCCTCCTTAGTTGCATTGTGGCTGATCTTGGACTCAAAATTGAGAGAGAGCTGACTATAGAGAGAGAAAGAAGAATTGTACAAGTTTGCTCTTGAGGCTTGGGAGCTTTGAGGTCTAACTCAAGAATGAACCTTAATTTTGGAGGACTAAGGCTCCTCCTAGGTGAGTGAATTTGTACATCTTAGTTTGTAATCTTTGTGAATTCAAGTTGAATGTTGATAAGGAACATAAAATAAATTGTTCATGATGAAATCAAGTTGGTTTTGTTGATTTGGTAGTCTATATGCACATGCATGTGAGGAAGTACTTTGAAATTGCATGTTTGAGCATAAAAATGTATAATCCATGTGCAATTTTAAATGAAACTTATGTTTTGATCACCTCTTCACCAATGAAGTTGTAAATGATGAGCATCTCCCACATGCATGTACAAATAATGGGGGTGTAAGGCTTGATTGTTTGAATTTGAGTATGTTGGTGTTGAGTTTGAGTTAGTTTGAGTCATGCATGTGATTAAATTGTGAAATTGAGCTCCATTGCGATGTAATTTGGTGTTTATACCATGTTAGTACATAAATATATGAAGTTTGAGCCAAAAATCATGAATTGAGACCTTTGAACATCGAATTTGAACTCCAAGAACAATTTTGGAATTTCCAAAAAGTTTGATTACCGCTCGAGTGGGGAAACCGCCGCTCGAGCGTAAATTTCGTGCTCCCAGCACTTTTTGCAGACATGGTGTCCGCTCGAGCGGGGGAGTTCACGCTCGAGCGTGGAGCCATATAGAGAGGCCTTCCGCTGGAGCACTAGAGTTCGCGATCGAGCGTAATTTTGATGCATTCAGTACTTCTGCAGGCCTTAAGGGTATGCTCGAGTGGGGAAGTCCACGCTCGAGCGGGGACCCTGTTTTCTGAAATTTTAAAAATGCACTCTGTGTTCTGTTTTCCATTCCCTTTCACTTCTAAACACTCTTAGGCATACATTGAGCATTGTAATTGGATTAAAGAGGTAAGAATGAAGCCTAAAGAGGAAAATGTGAATTTTGAACGGATTGAATTGTTAGTGACCCTTTTATGTTCATGGCATGTGTAGGGTCGAGTTCCAGGGCGAACCAATCAACCGATCACTGTGAGTAATATCTGACACATGTTATTGTCCAATTGCTACTTCTATGTAAGTTTTGTAAAGTTCATTAATTTGAATGGTGGACACAGTTTGATATGAAAGGCCTATGAGCCAGTTTGAAATGAAAGGCCTGTGAGCCAGTTTGACATGAATGAATTGCGCCGAAGGCTGTTTGTTGTATAACATTGCAATGCATTTCCTTTACTTGATATTGTTCACTGGCCTTTTGCTCACACTCATTCATGTGTTTGTAGGTGAGCCAAGGGAGGTCCAGGCCCAGCCCCAGTGAAGCTTAAGTGGATCAACATAGGTTTTGGAAAGTCAGCCCTTGTGTCTCACGCACGAGACCCATCTTCGCCCCTTTTGTTCTGTAATTATATTTTGTCATGTTGGCGAAGTTTTGTATATGTCTGTACATAGTTACCTAGGGTTGACTTACTTTTGGATGTAGGGTTTATCCATGTTATAGTTTGCAAGTAAACCAAGTTGTCTAATTAACAATCTAGAAATTCTGAAATAGGCATCCATGGAACTTGAAAATTAATTGAATATGAATAAAAGAAAATACAAAAATCATTCAACCAAGAAACACTTGAAGGTAAACAGACTCAGGTTCTAGCTAACAATAAAGGGTTTAGGGTTTTAAGGGCAAAATATTAACAAAGAATATCAAGAGAATTAAGGAAAGAAGTAGTTACAAGCTTGGAAATCTCTTCAAGAACAAAAGTGACCTGTTCACCTCCTTTGAGGATAGCTTCATACTGAGAAGTGTTCCATTTAGTTTCCTCACCTTCTCTTCATTCATCGTCGTCGCAATCTCCGGCACGTCGTCAGTCTTGCCGTTGATAGATAGACAGATATACGAATATAAGTAGACTTTAGAGAGAGAAAATAGGGCAAATCTAGGTGAATCGGTGCTCCGGTTGCCCGCGATCGTAACGGGGAGCGGCAGAGGCACGGTAGTGAGAGAGGGAGGGAAGGTAAGCAGCGAAGAGGGAGAGGGATAGGGAGAAAGAGAGAGAGACAGAGAGACAGAGGCGCTGGTTTGTGGTTTGGAAACAAAATATATATATATATATATATATTACACCATTAGAGACTAAATATTTTTAGTCACCAATTAATTTTATAAATCCCTCCGAATTTTGAAATATCTCCCTCCAAATATTTTAGATTTTTGGCAACTAATTTTTTTTTTTTTTTGGTCGCTGAAAATAAGTTTTTGGCAATCAAACTTTTGGCCAGCAAAGATAATATTTTTTTTTTATTTTCCAGTGGTCAACTAAATCGTTTTAGTAACCAAAATTTAATATACGATGACTAAAATAATTTTGTCACTGAAAATATGTTTTTGGTGACCAAACGTTTGGTCGTCAAAGATAAAAAAAATAATTTTTTATTTTCCATTCGGCGACTAAATGGTTTTAGTAGCTAAAACTCAATATACGGCGACTAAAATATTTTTTTGTCGCTAAAAATATATTTTCGGCAACCAAACTTTTGGTCGCTAAAGATTAAAAAATAATTTTTTATTTTACATTCGACGACTAAATGGTTTTAGTAGTCAAAACTCAATATACGGCGACTAAAATATATATTTTTTTTTGTCGCCAATTCTGGTATTTTTAGTGACTAATTTTTTTTTAGTCACCAATAATCCATATACCCCGACTAAAAAAAATTAGTAGCTAAATATTGTACTTTTGCCAACTAAAAAAATTTTTTGTCGCCAATTCCACAACTTTTGGCGACTAAATTTTTTTTAGTCGCTAATTTTGGTCGCCAAAGGTGCATTTTGTTGTAGTGATTAAAAATATGTAGAACTAATTTGTACGGATATTTTTTATTTTATTTTTTTGGGATTAGATAAGTTTTGAATTTTGTGTATGGACCTACCGGTAAGTTTCCCTAAATAATTTATCTGAAAACTGAAAAAATGTGAGTTGTTTACAATAGAATAGTTTTTTTTTAAATGGTAAATTACACACTCTTTGATGAATGATTAAATATGAATTACCCCTATAGTTTGAAAAATTACAAATAACACTTTGTTAGAATTTTTTTATATAATAGAATTTACTAAAAAAGTGAAATTTTTAACTATTCTCTTATACAGTAATAAAATTATCTGAATTATTAATTAAAATAAAATTTTAACATTATTAAAAACTGTTAATTAACTCGATAATTTATTAATAAAAGAGTCTATTTGTTATGAAATTAGAAACCTTGGGGATATAATATAATTTCTAGAACCACAAGGGGTAATTCGTAATTTAATAAAACCTCCAGGGGTGTGTTTGTAATTTTCCCTTTTTGTAAAATGGGCTAGCCTTTATTCCTGACCCACAACCTCTTAGTTGGGCCTTCTTGTCTTATTAGTTGGGCTCAACCCTGGCTTGGCCAGCAGACTTCATGGGCCTAGTTTGCCTACATGTTTCTTCTCACATTTTCATTGTCATAATCATGACTATGCTTTAAACAAATACTTACACTTCAGCCAAAAAATTAAAAATAAAAAGGGGTTAAATACACTTTTGATTGCTAAACTATTTGCTTTATACCATTTTGATCATTGTGTCAATTTGTAAAGGAATTTTTTTTTTTTTTTGGCTGAAGAGTATTTTGTTCCAAAAAAAGAGTCTAATTTTAGTGATGAATATTGACAATATCAATTAGGAGGATCTCTCTAAAACACATTTAATATTTTGAAGGATAAAATTGACACAATTAAAATATTGAGAATCAAAATTAAACAAAGTGCACATGTTCACAACCAAAAGTATAAACAATGAGAGGCAGACTCAATCTTTTTTTTCATTGATGAACAATCATTGACCACCACATCATAAATACATTCATATCACTCACCAACACACAATCATAGACACACATACACACACATACACATACACATAATCTATGCACATACAAATCCTTCTGGAACCTTCTTTCCACACCCATTAATGACCAAACTAAGAGCAATGGGGACTTCAAGCTTGATAACACCCAGCACATTGGCCTTAATTGCAGTGCATAAACACAATGCAGCTTCGAGGTCAGCCAAACCTTTCACCACTGTACAACATTGGGGACTAGGTTTAGTCCCAATGACTTCAGTCACCAATCCCAACCATTCACCACAAACACCAAACTTGAGAATGTCTTTTGGGCACTTGGCTGGAGGATTCGCCGGAGGGCATGGGACCTTATGAGATGAGACAATATTGAAGAAGAAAAAGATGATGATGATGAGTAGAATTAGAAGCGAAGATGTCTTTGAACCTACCATTTTTCTTCATGCAATAGGAGATAAGAGCAATGTTGGTGTAGTGGACATCGATAATTTGATAGTGTTTTAGAGTTGGATATTATGAATTGGTGGTTGGTATTGGCTCATGAAAAAGCTAAGGTATTGTACATGACCACATGAAAATATAGTGGCTAATAAGACTCCTCGTTTTGGTGCATTATATCCCATGCCCTTGTCTTTACTTTCCTCCATCGCTACAATATATATATATATATATATGGAAAATGTTTCGTAACTCAAATTTTGTGGCTCAAAATTTAGATAGGAAGAGTAATATGTAAAGTACTAGATGCAATTAGTTTTTATTAGAGGATGCGATGATGTGGCTAATTCATGAATTTCTTGCTCAGCCCTAGTCCTCATCTTTTGGTGATGCTTTGGGCTTTTTGGGGTCTTTTGGGATACCAATGTACCATATATGTCACTGAAAAATAATTTGAAAAATTACCACAAATAAAAAATAAAAAATCTAAGGTTGAACCTAATAACAAAATAATTTTTTAATTTTTAATTTTATCAATTTAAACAATAATTTTTTTGATTTAATTTCAATATAAACCATTTGTCTATTTTTGTTAGATAAAATTGACAGAAAATTATATCTTAGTCATTAAACTCAATAGAAAAATATATTTTAAACATTTTTTTATACACTTATATTGAATATAATGACAATATTTTCTTGTATGTGTCAATTTTACTTAACAAAAATAGGCAAATAATACATTGACAAAAAAATCAAAACATTAAAATTCAAATTAACAAAATTAAAAATTCGGGTTTTTTTGTGTTTTTTTTTTATAAATAAAATGTATTTAAACAAACTCCATGCCCCAATTATATAGAATTTCTAGAGTAAAGTAGGAATTATGTACAAAAAAATTAAATTGGTCAGCATTTTCAATAAGAAAAATGTTATGAATCATGAAAACTTATCCCAAATTTTGTCTAGAAATAAGTTGTATAGTATATATTTGGTGGAACGTGGTCTAGAAATAAGTTGTATAGTGTACAGTGTATCTAGAAATAAGTTGTATAGTGTTACTGGAACGTGGTCTACATTGGTTGTTTTGGCAATCTACTAAATTAGTAAAAAAATCACTATAAAAAAATTAACTCTCTGCTATAAAAAAATCAACTCTTCTCGTTATTTTTTTTTAACGTATTTTTGTAAAAAGTCAACCAATTAAAATAGTTAATTCCTAAATTACAAAAACTGTAATTCATAAATGTGTTTTTTTAAGTTATTTTTTTGGGTAAAGAGTTGTTGAAAAATAAAAAGCATATTATAAATTTAAATTTAACATGACATGGACTATATCTGGAATAGATTTAATATATATATATATATATTGTGACTATTTTCCAAATAATTTTTATGATACATGATGCTATCGTTTCCATACCAAAATATTATATTTATAACCATGTAATAACTACTCTGAAGTATAGCTGTTAAGACCAGGTATCGATTCTCAGGGACTAATCGAGTTGTTTTGATACAAAAATAATAATTAAAGTAATTTAACGAGTTTGGTTTTGAAACTAATAAAACTAAAATAAGTAAAACATAAAATAAATAAAATAAAATAAGAAATTTCTCAGGGTTTTGAATCAACCACTAACCTTATAATCAGGAATTATTGTATTAGTTTTTAGAAAATTATTAATTTGGATAGAATGATGTAAGTTGATCAGAAACAAATCGTCAAGAGAATTTGTATATTAAAATCAAAAAGTCACAAATTATTTTTGCTTAGTACGAACCGTCACCACTAAATTAAACTAAACTAAAATTGATGTATGACCTGTCTTATTAGGTATGACTCGTCTAACAATTTTAATACATAGCAGTAAAAACAATTGTATAACATGATTTGAATAAATCATTTATTGCACAAAAAGATCTAGAAACTATACAATTTATCTAAATCAAATCAAAATTAAAAATATCAAATACAACTCACCATAATTATTTGGTCAGGTTTCATCTCTACCCTAAGAAATAAAAATTATTTCCACATACTAATATTACAAATACTATAAAATATGTACATTCTAAACCTTCCCACTCTTTTTATAGGCAAATTCCACGCCATCACCTGCAAAAACAAACAAAACATAATAATATAAATAACATGAATATATGGTTAAATTAGACTGACATCCCCTGAGATTTATGTTTATTATAGTTCTCCTCTCACTTTTTGAAAATTACATCTCCTCCCCTGAGGTTTAAAGTTTCATTACAGATTTCTCCCTCAGCCCTTTTAATTTTTTTAAATACCAATTTTACCCTCATTGGGTAAATTACATTGGCACCCCTCACATTTTAAAAATTACAATCCCCTCTCTAAGGTTTAAAGTAATATTACCAATTGCCCTCCCGGTTAGTATTAGTTGGAAAAAAAATTCATTGAAAAAAAAAATTAATTAGAAAAAAATTAATTGAAAAAAAAATTTGTTTTGTAAATATAAACAGAAAATTGAAAATGTAAGTGTTACCAAACGACACCTTATAAATCAAAAATATTATCAAACAAGTTTTTATGACAGTTTTTTTAAATTTTTTGTAAATATAAATTGAAAATTGAAAACAGAATGGTTACCAAACAGGTTTTAGATGGTAAAAATGTCGTAAAATTAACAAATAATTAAATAAGCTACCAACATAATAAATGACTTATCAAAAGATTCTTAGGCTATGTATGGTTTGATTTTTAGATTTTTTTTTAAAAAAATTAAAAGTTAATTTGGTTAAGAAATAAAAAATAAAAAATAAATTCATTTCATTTAATTTTTTTTTATTTTTTATTTCTCAACCAAATTAATTTTTAATTTAAAAAAAAATTCTAAAAAACAAACCATATATAGCCTAATAATCTTTTGATAAGTCATTTTTTACGTTGGTAACTTATTTAATTATTTGTTAATTTTGCGACATTTTTACCATCTGAGACCTGTTTGGTAACCATTTTGTTTTCAGTTTTCAATTTATATTTACAAAAATTAAAAAAATTGTTATAAAAACTTGTTTGATAATTTTTTTGGTTTATAAATGATTGTCTCAGTTTGTAAATTTGAGGAAAAAACTTAAATTCAAAAAATGAGTTTACGTTAGTTTTTAAACAAAAATTAAAAAAATTATTAACAAATTTTTTTTTTCAATTAATTTTTTTCCAATTAATATTTTTTTTCAATATTTTTTTTTTCCAACTAATACTACCCAAGGAACAATTGATAATGCTACTTTAAACCTTAGGGAGGAGATTGTAATTTTTAAAATGTGAGAAGTGTCAATGTAATTTATCTAATAAGCGTAAAATTGATATTTAAAAAAATTAAAAGAGCTGAGGGGGAAATTTGTAATGAAACTTTAAATCTCAGGAGGGGAGATGTAATTTTCAAAAGGTGAGAGAGAGAACTGTAATAAACATAAACCTTAAGGGTATCAGTGTAATTTACCCGATTAATATTATATATTATAATTACTAATCATGAATCAAGATACTACCACTGATAATAAATTAATTACTTAGAACAACAATTCTTAATAGTATATCTTAATAGAATAGTATATCTAAAAAATTAATCCTACCACTCTTACCAACTATTGATATACTAAATCCACGCCACCTAATCTTCAATTTGAAAAAACCAAATAATATATGAAAAATGATCAAGACTCCCTTTCCCTCCACCCCCTTTGACCCCCTCTCTTTCCTGATTGGCTAATTTTTTTTTTTCCTTCTCCTCCAATCACCACCCGCCACGTGTGTGTGGTGGGGGGAGGGGATGGTGGGGGTTGATGATTGAGGGGTCTCAATCACAGTCCATAATATATATATACTAGGGATGACCCGTGCCTGAAGGCACTGTCAACAATTTTTTTGGTATCACGTGTTACAAAACTCAATGGTAATAAATCAATTGAAAATGGTAATATCACTCCGACTTAAAACTTCACAAATAAGAAACTGAAATTGCTTCTACACATTGAATTAGTGAAAGCATTTATAAATTTCAAATAGCAAATTTCTAAATGAAAGTCCAAAAAATGAATTATATATTTGAATGTAGCATATGCAAAGAATCTAGAAATATTTGCTAAACTTAAAGTCTAAATAGCAAATTTTAGATTTTTATCCACGTCAAAATGACACATCTATACACTATAGCAAGTTAGAATGGGATAACTTTCGATAAAAGAATGTTATTTGAGAGGGTAATTTTTGGGAAAGAATTGGGCTGAGCTGTGAGTTGGGCCCTGCGGCCCAAAGTGTGAAGGAATCGGTAAGAAGCCGTAATGTTATTTCGGCCCAGTAGAGGTATAGATACTCCGGCCCAGGAGAAGTGTAGTTATTCCGGCCTAGGAGAGATATGGTTACTCCGGTTCAAGAATGTGTAAAGCAACTCCGGTCCGGTGGCAATTTGAAGTGAGTCCGGCTTTGCATTTAGTCCGGTCGTGACATATTATGGTTAGGTCGGTCAGAACTTGCTACTTGGAAGTTTGATCTAAACACACCATGGTTAAACAGGGGAAAGCCGAGATAAGGAGTTGGAAGAGAAGAACGAGCTAAGGACAGTTCGACCTTCTCTGTGGCTCTGCATAGCCAAGCTTATTTCGGTCATATAGTAGTTCGGCCAAAGTGAAAACCATCCCACTTGGTTTAAGCAGTGGGGGAGGGTGTAAAAGGATAAGCATTATCCTTAGGAGTATGAATCCTAGGAGGACTCTGCATGGAGGAATAAGAGTCCCAATAGGATTGTGCCACTCGAAACTTATAAAAGCTCACAAACATCACCTTGGAGGAGGTAATTGAACACAATTCTTTCTGAGAACATAAAACTTTGTCTATTTGTCAAGCTTACTGACTTGGGCATCAGAGAGGTTTCCGGCACACACCCGCCGGCTAGCTCACGTTTGTGTTTTCAGGTGATAAAGCGACGTCGTATGGAGGAGCGTGGACTTGGTCAACAGGATTATACGAGGAGAATTATTTCCCCCCCGTACATTATTGAATTAGTATCATAACCGGTAACCCTTTCACTTTATCAGGTTTAAATTCCTTCAAATAAAGCTCAATGAACATTTTAATATAAAAGAATCATCCTAGCTAACCCA